AAGTTGCTTATGTAAGGTTCTGGAACGAATTGTTAACAGTAGGCTATTGCATTTTTTAAATTCCAGTAACTTACTAGTTGATGAGAAGTGCAGCTTCTGAGAGGGACGCCACTCTTGATCAACTAGTAAAATTAGACAGTCACATTCAAGAGTCATTGCCAATAAACACTTTTTTTCAGTATTCTTAGATATAGAAATTTTTTCCGGATGTTTTTGTACACAAGGAAGTGTATTGTCCACAACATTATTATTTACATGATAAATGACATCTTACCAGCCCCTAGTCGGAATCTTTAATATTCATTATAGGCCAATGATTGCTCCAACAGTAATGTAGAATTATCGGTAAATCGCATCTAAATTACACTGGATATGATTCATAACTGGGCCTCCAGTGGGGTTTTAAGTTTTCCATTAGAAAGAGTATTGGGATAATTTTCACATAGGGTTAACAGGCTAACGCGAGACAATCACTCAATACCTATTCGAAATTCTGCTAGATTTCTTGGTCTGCTCTTTGTTCGTATACTCATATAGAAAGACCACATTGGTCAGTTAAAGGATAAATGTTAAAAAAACTAAATTTTTTAAAGTGGATTTCTGGTATTATATGAGGAGCAGATAATAAGTCTTTGTTAATGATATACAAATCCCTGATTAAGTCTAAAGTAGATCTTATCAGTCGTGTTTGGTTCGGCATCGAACTCAATTTTGAAGGGTTTGGATATTGTGCAGAATGATTGTTTGTCTTGGAGCCCTGAAGTGTACTCGAAACGAGCGTCTTGAAGTACCTCCCCTTCGACTCGGCATAGGCCAGTTAGCACTGGCCTATGCCGCAAAAGTGGTTCGAGATCCGAGCCATCCTAATGTCAATCGAGGCATTAGGCCTTTTATCACGTGATTCCACGACCTCGTCGAGAAAGTCGGTATAGATCTCTCTACCATCGATATCCTGGTTCAGTCAACTAAAGCACCACGGGAAACCCTCTATTTCATCATTATGGAAGCTGGGCTTCCATCAGCTAAGGCCATGGCGGTGGAGGTGCAGGAACGCCAGGTGTTTAGAGAGATACGAATTATACATCTGTCTTTTTTGTTGAACCTTTTACTGTTGATAAAGATTTAGATTTTGCACTGTCGACGACACACATTAGAATAGTATTTTTGTCTGATTCACTAAGTTCACTTAAAACCATCAAATTATAAAAAAAACACTAAAAATGAATTGCTGGATAATATTCATAAGCTACATAGCGCCAACAATCAGGCTAATGTGGATTCCAGGCCACACTGGTATCTATGGCAATGAACAGGCCGACAAATTGGTCGGGTCAACTGGTGATCTGGACCTTAGCATATTCCATGTAGATCTCAGATGTTTTGTGTCCATTGTAAAAGCAAAAATCCACCTCCTGTGGCAAACTGAGTGGACCAACCTACAATTGATTAATAAAATCAAACAAAACCTAAAACAATGGGACACAGTCTACAGAAAAGTAAGAAGGGAGGAGGTGGTGCTGGCCCACCTTAAGGACAGTGCCACAACAACACCTCACTCAGTGCCCCGAATGTACAACCAGCTTTACCTTAAATCACCTTTTAACAATATGCCCACAATGTACAAACAATAGACACCTAAGTAATTATTTTAGAATGAAATACAAAGAATTTTCAATATCAATTTTCTAAGGGAGACAAACCTTTATGACCTTATCTAGATTGAAATAATGGAAAGGTTGCAATGGCTTAATGATCTTGGCTGGCTGTGTTAACATAGCCATATACCACTGGTCGATAGGCAAGAAATCCAGCAAACAAGCAAGAAAGAAAGACAAAGCGAACACAATATCTACGGTTTGGCCGGCCTTGTCCTGGCCAGTGACAATTATTGTAATGATATGGGGAAAATCGCGCTTATATATATATATATATATATATATATATATATATATATATATATATATATATATATATATATATATATATATATATGTATATATATATATATATATATATATATATATATATATATATATATATATATATATATATATGTATATATATATATATATATATATATATATATATATATATATACATATGTATGTATGTATGTATATATATCATTTTTTTTTTTCTCTCTCTCTCACGATTACTAGTCCATCCGTCTCTCTCTCTCTCTCTCTCTCTCTCTCTCTCTCTCTCTCTCTCTCTCTCTCTCTCTCTCTCTCTCACTCTCTCTCTCTCTCTCTCTTTCTCTCTTTCTCTCTCTCTCTCTCTCTCTCTCTCTCTCTCTCTCTCTCTCTCTCTCTCTCTCTCTCTCTCTTTCTCTTTCTTTTTCTTCCCCTCTCTCTCTCTCTCTCTCTCTGATTTGAGATTATGAGTTTGTTCCTGAAGATAGTCCATGGACCTTGACGAATCTTTTCTTTCTACAGCCAACAAAATAATTCAATTTGTAGCCTGATATTGATATGAAAAGAAGTAATATGTCGATAATATGTCGATAATAATTAAATTAAGAATAACTGAACTGATAATAATAACTTAAGAATGGGGAAATTAAAGATTACGAAATATGAAAATCAGTATAGATTAACAAAAGACTATGAACAATGAATAATAAAGATAACTTTCTAGTTACGAAAGTGATAATTTAAGACAGAAAATAACAATTCTTCTAAAATATTTACGAAATCATAAGGTGAATATCTTATTAAAAGCACTTTTACCACACCTACCACACTAATTTACTTTCATATACGACAATGTGTGTGTGTGTATGTATGTGTGTGTGTGTGTATGTGTGTGTGTGTGTTTGTGTGTATGTGTGTGTGTATGTATGTGTGTGTATGTATGTTTGTGTGTGTGTGTGTGTGTGTGTGTGTGTGTGTGTGTGTGTGTGTGTGTGTGTGTGTGTGTGTGTGTGTGTGTGTGTGTGTGTGTGTGTGTGTGTGCCTCCAAATATTATCTAAGACCATCATTACTTTCCCTCTCATGCCAAGTCCTATTATGAAATTTGATAATATTTCTCTCCACCAACTTGTTGTCATAAGGCAACTCATTATCGCCGAAGGAGCCATTCCCGGAGATTCATCGTCTCCAGCGTCAAACTTGGTCCGTCATATTCTCCTTATTTATTATCCCTCTTAGCCTCGTTCCCTTTTCATCATCGTCCCCTGCCACATGTCTCCCGCTTTATCGTCCTCTTGATGACTCCATCTCGCGAGGTTGGCTCAGCCTCCCATCTCGCGTCTCGGCCGCCCATCCCGCCCTTTACTATCCTCTCTGCCGCTCGTCTCGCGCCTTAACGATGCTCACCGTTGAACTTCTTGGCCATGAGGTACACGGCCAGCACCTCCTGCACTCCTCCCAGCCGGCAGGCATCGATCTGGCAGTAGGAGAGCGCGCCTGCCTGCAGTAGCTGCTTGAAGACTACGCGGTTCTGGCACATCTCCCCCGTGGCCACGCCGATGCCCAAGGGCTTGAGGGCCTGCGGGTGGAACGCCTTCGTTATTCTCAGACTCCCTCATCCATGACTCAGTATGCTATCGCCGTTCCCTTACTCGGCCCCTGGCGGCTGAACCCACGGACCTGACCTTAGCTATGGCAGCGTGACCCAGGACGTCGTCGGGGCTGGTGGGCTCCTCGATCCACTTGGGCTTGAAGGGCGCCAGCTCCCGCATCCACGCGATGGCTTGGTCCACGTCCCACTTCTGGTTGGCATCCACCATCTGGCGGCAGAGACCGGGTGAGCAATAACATAAAGAATGGGAATTAAAATGCTGAGAATATTGGCTTCCTGGACGTCTTTCGCATGAGTAGCCTTTTCCAGGCAGTGTAATCCAAAAACAAGAGGATACATGGTTATTCCACCCTCACAGGAGTCCATGGATACAGACGTGAAGTATTTCATTTGCGCCAAAGGCAGTTTTCATTTTCATTCAGGGGAAACATGAATACAGAAGAAAAAAAATCTGTAAACATAAATCGCATTTATTATACTAGGGCAAACTGGTTGAAAAACAACAACAATATTGATGCAGCTTGAATTGCCATATATTTTATTGTCTTTCGTGTAATCCTAGGGCCTTTGCTCTAACATGGTACTTGACATTTTCTTGACATTTGGCCACAGACAGCTAGCTCAGTCGACCTACGATCATTTCTTTAGTGCAAGGTTCCGTCAGCGCCGTCTGCCTCGGGGGAGGCAAGCTGATTACAGTCAAGCCAACAAAGTCCAGTTTACGGCCACGAAATCGTACAGGATTTGTGGGATGCAAAAGCAACAGCTTCAATTTGTGCCGCGAAATTATCCACTACATCTCGTAACTATTCTCAAATGAATACACTGAATGCACTGGCATGCACGCATATATCACAAAACACGCACACACTCACTCACACACACACACGCACACATACATGTACTCATTCACACGCACACACACATACTCACAAACACACTCATACATGCACGCATAGATACACACCTACTAACAAACACACACGCGCGCACTCTCACACACCCTATATATATGATATACATTCATACATATATGCACAAACATACACACACACACACACACACACACACACACACACACACACACACACACACACACACACACACACACACACACACACACACACACACACACACACACACACATATATATTTAACTGTATTTGTATATATATACACACATATATATAAATGTATGTGTATATATATATACATATACATATACATATTTATACATACTTATATAATAATATATATACACACATCATCATCATCATCATCAAGCGGTTAACGCTCACGAGGGCGCATGGTTGCATCTACCCTTTGCTTCCAGCCACGAGGGTCCCTCATGGCGAGTCTCCAGGCAGGCCCTCGGCCCATCTCTAACTCCTCGCGGCAGGTCTCGACGAGCTGCCCAAGCCATGACCTCCTAGGTCGTCCCATGGGCCTCCTCCACCCAGGATTGTCTCGCAGAGAGAGAACCCGAGGGGCGCGGTCATTCACGGGGAAACGGGCAAGGTGCCCATATAGCCTGAGTTGGCGATCCCAGATTATGCAAGTAACAGGTCCCACGCCAATCTCGCAGTGTAGCCGTCGGTCTTGCCAACTGTACCCCCAGATCCCACAAAGAGGCTTATTACAAAAGGCATCAAGACAAGACTCCAGTGCACTAGATAGCACCTAGGTTTCGCTTCCATAGAGCAAAACTGGTAGTATCAAAGCCTTGAAGACATGTAGCTTGGTCCCTCTGCATAGGTACCGACATCTCCGAATGCTCTTGTTGATTGAGTTCATGGCTCCTGCTGCCAGACCAATCCGTCTACTGACTTCTTGCTCTGACAACCCAGAGATATGGACTACACTACCAAAGTATGCAAAACTCTCTTTGACTTCAACATCCTTATCACAAGCATGGATAGACTGAACGGGTTCTCCTAACAGGCTCCCAAAGTCTGGAATCTTGGTCTTGGATCAGGAAACCTATAGGCCCAAGGGCATTGCCTCATTGCTAAATGCATCAAGCACTGCCACTAGTGACTCCAGGGACTCAGATAAGATAGCAGCCTCATCAGCAAAGTCAAGGTCTGAGATCTTGATATTGCCCAGTGTTGCTCCACACTGACTCTGGATAGTAGCTCTACCCATTATCCAGTCCATGCAGGTGTTGAAAAGTGATGGTGCAAGGATATAGCTTTGCCTCACCCCTGAATTAACAGAGAAGTTCTACAGGCCTCCACCACACTATACAGCACTTTCAGTACCAGTATATAGGCTTGCTATTAGGCCAACAACCTGTGTCAGAATTCCCTTAAGTCTGAGAATCTCCCATAGCGATCCTCAATGCACCAAGTCAAATGTCTTCTTGAGGTCGATGTAGGCTGCAAGCAACCCATGACCAAACTCATGACGGCATTCCACAATTACTTGAAGTGCAGCTTAGGTCTGGCACAGGTATTGTGATACTACTTGCATCCAAACTAACTGTTGGAGGGTCTACCTGGTACAGCTGCTCAAAATACACAATACACAAATCCACATGAGTACATGTTTTTGGCCTTTTCCTTTCTTTTCCCTATCTACTCCCATAAATGTGTTAAACTGTATGTGCAGTCACTCTCGCGTTGGTTTTGTGGGGTAAAAGTGCTAATTGACAGTAAATGGCATGTTTTCACACTATTCTTCGATTACATTACCATGTGATCACGATATGTAATCAGCAACTTGATTATTTAGTTGTTCATTTATTAAGTATTTAATCATTTTAACCTCATGGTTAGAGATTTATATTGTTTCAAATGCAACGAATTTAATGCGTTCATGATTTTATATTTATTACAAATGTTATTTCAAATATTTCTATTCTCATCGTGCATTTCCCGTCCCAACCTGACCTGATCTCGCTTTCTCTTTCTTCGGTCGATACGTGAAATGGCTTGAGAAATAGCTCACTAATTTTTTGTTTGGCGTAGCATCGCTACATTGCTCATTTGGTGACACGTTCTATCGGCGCTGGAACGGAGCTTGTAACGCGATTTTATATACATCTATTATCTTGATCATAGCATTAGAATCTTCCCCATATCAGAGCATACAGGGATTCCTGATATTAACTGGGGTTGCATGAATCGCCTAATAGATCTACGCTCCGACATAACGATAGTAGGTACAGGTATAACCGAAGTTATTCCTACGATCGGCAATTTTCGAGTCGGGTGACCTGAAGTATGTCCGTTAAATAATGTTGGACGAGGGTTTAAGCTAGAATTATATATAGATAGATAGATAGATATGTATATAAATACATAAATACATAGATAAATATATATATGCATATATATGTACATATATATGTATATATATATGTGTGTGTGTGTCTTTCTTAGGAGAATTCAAGAAATTAGGACCAAGATTTCATCGAATCGCGTCAGTTACATACCTTACCCTTTGAACTTAACCATTTTTATTTTTACCATATTCTACAATTGTTAAATATATTCTGCCCAGGCCGATGCAAATCAAACGATTCAAAGATTAGATCACTGCCAGCAAGTGAGCCTTTGCTCCCTTAAGCACATGACCAGATTCTTTCTTATGTCTCCTATAAATCTCACCATCAACAAATTCGCATTTATTATCTGGTCATCAACATATTTTGTTATTGTTATTATCATTATTACTATCATTATCATCATTATTATTATTACTGTTATTATCATTATTATTATTATTATTATTATTATTATTATTTGCAGTAGTAATAGTAGTTGTTGTAGTATCATTATTATCATTATCGTTATCATTATTATCATAACTATCATTATTACGACTATTAATATGATCAATATCGTTATTATGACTATTATTTCTATTGATATTATTATTATTATTATTACTAGCATCACCATTATGATACTTTGCTGTCATTATTATGAACTGTCTGTGTGCTCGGTCTTTTTCTCGTGTCCTGATCAGCAAGCTTCTCCTGCGTCCCCTTGGCAACCCGCCCCCTCCCCCTTCCCCGCCCCCCTCCCCTGCCACCCACCAGTGTCCGGTCGTCGCCGATGAGCTCTCGAACGATCCTGCAGCGGCGCTTGTCGTCCTCCAGGTCCTGGCCAACCTTGATCTTGAAGTGCCGCCAGCCCTGCGCCATGTACTGCCGGCACAGGCGCTCGATCTTCTCCCGGGAGTACCCAAGCCATCCTGTGGGAGGGGGGGGGGAGTGAAGCAGGGTGGAGAGAAGAACAATAGGGGATAAAGGGAAGAAAAAGGAGGGAGGGGAAGATAACGGGAGGAGAAGGAGGAGAGAGAGGAAAATCGGACGAGAGGGGAAAATGGACAGGAAGAGACAGAAGGGAAAGGGTCGGGAAGAGAAGAGTAGACGGAAGGAATTAGAGGAGAGAGAGGACGGAAATAGAGAAGGAGAGACAGAACATGAGCAGAGATATGAAAGAGAGGGAAGGGAAGAGAGGAGGGAAAAGAGAACAGAGAGAGAGAAAGGGGAGAGATAAAGGAGGCAGGAGGGCAGAAAGAACAGGAAATGAGAAAGGGGAGAGAGTAAAGGAGAACAGAAAGGAACAGAAAGAGGACAAAAGGAAAGATATGAAGGACATGAGGAAAGAAAAGGGGAAATGAAAAGATTACACAAAGGCAGGGAAAAAGGCGAAGAAAAAAAATAGGAAAGAATAGAGAATTAGGTAAGACGAACAAATATAGGAGCAAAGGCAGAAAGAGCGAAGGAAGGCAATCGGTTCATCTTACTTATCTTCTCAATACACCTAATGTTTCTTCTAAATCAAATTATACTAATACTATACGATAGTTATAAAAAAAATAATCATCCGCCCACTCACACACATTGCATACTAAATCTATCTCCTATCATATATCATATTTCCTTCTCCTCTACCCCCTATCTCTCTGTTTCTTTTTTCTCTTTCTCTTTCTTTCTCTCCACCCCAACATCTTATTTTCTCTCTGCCCCTCTTTCTCTGTTTTCCTCTGTTTCTGACTCTCTCTTTTTCTTTTTCTCTCCCATTCTCCACTGCTTCCTCACCTGCCGCCGTGGTGTACGCTGGGTAGCCTTGTGACAGCATAGTCTCTTCTCTCTTTGCTTTCCCCGCTTCCATCTCTTTAAGCATGTTCACTGCCTCGTCTCGTGTCAACACATCGCCTCTGTTGGGAATTGATTGTGATAACCTTCGATCTAACAACTGAGCTTTACTGCGCTGCAAATCGCACGCAAAGGCTCGAGCAGTAAGCACGGCAGCCTTCCCAGCTTCCTTGAGCCCGAAGAGCTATTGTACCGCTTTCGTTACGCCTCTCTTTGATTTTTAAACTATATAAATATTTGGACGAGTACTTCATATGTTTCATTTCCTTAGCTTAGAAGACGGTATCATACATCTTCAAAAAATAGCACATATAAGAAACACAGACATTCATGCCTGTACATATTCACACACACGCAGAAAGAAGAACAGAACGTTCAAGAAAAAAAGAAATTACACATGCATGTGTATGTATACAAAATCAAAATGAAATTCATCGCTAACATCATGAGCTTTAGCATGTATATAATAAAGCGGTTGAGACAGTTTTCACTACTTATGCGACAGCTATCAGGATCAGCTCTGAAAGAAGTTCTGTCTCTATACGCGGCCCTTGACGACCAGCGAGGAAGGCCCCGCCCTCTCCCTCAAACCACAAGCCGCTGGAAGACAGACGTGGCCGCACGTACATGTATCTGAAGTCTATGGTTGAGACGAGCTTCTCCGGCTCCATGTCCACAAGGAGCTTCCATAAGGGCTTGTTCTGCAGCCGTGCCCACAGGTCCCACAGAGCGTTAACGATGCCCGCCACGGCCAGGTGCAGCACGCCCTTCTCGGGTCCGACCTGCAGGAGAGGAGGGGTGTGAAGGGGAGTGGTCTTTGTAAGTAAACCCGCGATTCTGTGCCCCTTGACTGTTCTGTGTCTTACTAAGAAAGGACGAAGACATAAAGAAAGAAGATACAGACACATAAGCAAGGACTGACATAAGGATGGACTGATAAATATAGTAAAAAATAATCATAGACATTGAGGGAGAAAGCAAGAAAGAAACAAAGAGAGAGAGAGAGAGAGAATGAGAAAGGGAGAGAAAAGTAGGGGTGAGATGAGGGAGGGGGACATTCCGACGGCTTGTGTGGTCACACATTCGTCAAACAAGATGGATGGAACATTTCATGAAGTATGTAAACCCAAACCTCTTGTAAACAAGTTCAAGCATATTTTTCACGTATATTTTCATATAAATCTTTAAAAATATAGTAATTTATATTGCTTTAACAATAGAGAAAAAATGAGAGAGAGAGAGAGAGAGAGAGAGAGAGAGAGAGAGAGAGAGAGAGAGAGAGAGAGAGAAGGATTGTGGAGAAGAAAAAGAAGGAGTAAGAGAGAAATAAGGATGGAGAGAAGGTGAGAAAAATTAGATAAAAGAGA